AAGAATTTGCATTGACTATATCCTCGGCCCCTCCCCCCTTTTGTGTCAGGAATCTAACTCAGGACCTTGCACTTGCCAGGCAGGCACTTGTGCTGCTGAGCTATATTCCTGGCCCTATCATCAGCCTTTAAAAAAAAATTTAAGTCAGAGACTTGCTAAATTTCCCAAGCTGGGCTGAAATTTTCAGTCCTATTGCTTCAGCTACCTAGAGTTCTGGGATTATAGGCATATGCCGTCACATCTGACTTTATCAAAATTTAACACCTATTTTGAATACAAATATGAAAAAGCTCAGCCTTTGAGATTTCCTGGTCAGAATTTTTCCTACCAGAATTTGTATTTCCTAAGTTTTCTGGTTTTTCTGTTTTAAAAATAAACCTTTTATTCCAGACATGTTACTGGCTCCAAAAATTAGAAAGAATAGTCTGCGGTAGTCACCACTCTTATTATATAAAAAAATAAAAATATTTGAAGCCATAAGGTTCAATACATTTCATTTATTTATTCATTTATTATCATGTGTTTGGTACAGGGTCTCACTATGCAGCTTGGACTCGTAGTGATCCTCCAGTTTTCAGCCTCCCCAGTGCTGGGGTTACAGGCATGTGCCAACATGCCCAGACTCGGTCGCCAGTTTAGTGCATCCTGGAGGCAGGACTGGCACGGCATGCGGGCCTGGAGGTCGATTCTGGTTCCTGTGCTTGCCAAAGCAGGCACTTAGTCCGCTGAGCTATCTCTACGGCCCAGAGTTCAATACATTTTTATCTACCTAATATTTATAAATAAATAAATTTTATTTTTCAATTAGGCCATGATGGAAGACTAAAGGATGAAAAGAATTCCCTATTAATGACAACGAACGTTAATTTAATTCCCACTACAAGCTATTTCTTGTGACATATTAATTTGCAGGTCTTTTGCATTTTTACGGTTTCAGAACAAAAGCCTGTTTTCATCTGACAGGATTGTCTTAAATGTCTAAGTTAATGGTGAAGAAACCTTAAGTGACAAGTACTGCTTCTTCAGTGGCCCAGACGGAGTTCTCTAGTCTAACGGGTTAAGTGGGATCTCCTTACCCCTCACTCATGTATTTTCCTCCCTTAAGCTCCTTGCTCAGTGAATAGGAAAAGCTTTCCATTCTTTGCTCATACCTAGAGATGGCGTTTCTCCAAATAATGGAATATTTCCAAATAAGAATATTGGCAAAGAAACCATGGCATTTAATACTGCATATTTTAAGGTGACTAATCAATTTCATTTTCAAAATTTCTAAGGCAAATTACCTGTTATAAGAAGGGTTTTGATTATTTCTCTGATAACTTTCCTATGAATTCTGTAACTGATTTTTAAATTTGCAACACCTAGGGTCACGTGGGAGCCAGAGGACCAGCTGGGAGTCAAGGTCCTAAAGGACAAAGAGTAAGTAATCTAATGGGAAATACTTTGAATAAAAGTTATCACTGCATAATGATAAAAGCCCAACAAAACTAGAACCATGCCTTCCAGAATTAGGCATAGATACTGTTTGATTTTTCTTTTGTTTTCATTAGATAAACTACCTACATTGATTGACATAAAACATAAGCATTTTGACTCTAAAATCAGGCTACTTCACTAGGTGTGACGCTTTGCACCTGTAATCCCAGCATCTTGGAGGCTGAGGCAGGAGGATTGGGACTTTGAGGCCAGCCTGGGCTACGTAATGAGTACGTGGCAAGCACAGGCTATGTAGCAGCACTTTGTCTCCAAAACAAATGAATAATTAAAATAAAATAAATCATATTTTTTCATTTTCATTTTTACCTGTATAACTATCTCACATAAAACTTATTTTTCTAATTACCAGCCCAAATTCCATTCTTTGGAGGGATTACAATTTTTCACATCTTTAAATAAAATACTTTTCTATTTTTGGCAGACATGCAAAGCAAGAAAACATATAACAAAATTCAAACAGTAAGAAGTAAAGTTACGGTACACAGAATGAATCAGAGTTGATTCATCGTAAATCACAGACAGTGTGGTCATTATCTCTTCAAGCTCCCACTTAAATATTAAGAGTGAGGCAAGAGTTACTGGGGGATTAAGCCCAAGATCTTGGCACTGAGCTGCGCTCCCCGCTCCTTTTAGTTTTGATTTTGAGATAGGGTCTCACTCAGTCATTAAGTCACACAAGCTGAGCTCAAACTCATAATCCTACTGCCTCAGAATACTATGAGCGCTGAGATGAGAGCACTGAGCCATCAGGACTGGCTCCAGTACTTTTGTAGAAAGAGAAAGAAGAGCCATCATGTATTGTATGCTTGTCCCATGTCAAGCACTTACATACGTATTATCTCACTTAATAATGAAATCCACTCTAAGAAAGTAAAGAACTGTGTCTCAGAATTTTTTTTTTAATGTATTTGGTACAGGACTTTGCTATGCAGCTTGGACTCATAGTGAACCTCCTGTTTTCAGCTTCCTCAGTGCTGAAATTATAGGTGTGCACCACTAGGCCTGGTCTTGGTGGCCCACTCAGCGCATCCAGGGATGGGACCAGTGTGGCATGTGGTACCAGGGATCGGACCCCCATCCAAGCACTTGCCTCAGCAAGCACTAGGCCTGCTGAGCTATCTCACCGGTACTTGTATTTCTGATATTGTAGCTAAGGTTACCAAAGCCCAAAGACTTTAAGTAAAATGACACAACCAGTTTGTATGTGTTAGCATGAACTTCCTCCAATGCCTGTACTTACATGATACCACATGGGAATATTTTTCCTTAATTAATCTGAATATGGGCTTTAAGAGTTAGGTTTATGTTGGGCATGGTGATGGGCTCCAAAAGTCAGGAGGCTGAGGCAGGAGAATTGCCATGAGTTTGAGGCCAGATTGGTACATATAATGAGTTCAAGTCCACCCTGAGATGCATAGCAAGAGCTTATCTCAAACTTTAAAAATTTAAAAAAGTGTTAATTTTGTGACTTTGCCTTACCTTGATTTAAATTTTAGAGACAGTGAAGAAAAAATTTCTAAATGCTAAAATATGTCTTCTTGTAAACAAAGATTTGCTTTTTTAAAATTGCATTTTCTCAGTTGACAAATGGAAGAACAGTGTTGGGACTTCCCTTTTTGAGATACTGGTGGCAACCCCAATGGTATGTCCTGTGTTTTAGGTGACAGTTGAAGAGAATAAAGCTGTCTGTATTATTATTTCTTTCTGAAAAACTATTTTCCTCCCTGGGTTAGAGATTTATAGACTATCAGTAGCCCTACTGGCCAAGTCTATTTTAGCCTAAATGAAACTTAAAAAATAAGATTAAGAATGATACTGGAAGATTTGTATTCACTGTCATTTGGTTGTTTGGACACTGTATCCAATGCATTATCAGGTCAAGTGTATTTATTAGAAAAGTTCAACCAGTTTTATGTTGGGTGAAAACAAGGAAGAAATCCTTATTTATGTCTCTTACTAATGGAATAACATAGGTCCATTGACTATTTGGGAAGAAATGATATGATTACTCACAGTACAAGCTGAGCCACTTGAACTGTCTTCTAATGTCATAATGGAAAGTTCATTTGTTTGACAGTTTTCCAACCTCACCCTGATCCTGTGTAAATTATTACTCTGTCCTGATTTGCCTCCATATCCCTAATTCCCACATCTCAAATGATCTGTTTTGTTCTTCAGTAAGTACATTTTACTGATTCTCTCCAAGACAACACCTTAGAATTTTTAAGGTTTTTATTCAATAGTTTCCAACAGTGAAGCTGTTTGAAGAATTTGTTAAGAGAAACAAGAGGGAGGGCTATCTTTAGTACGGTAATATTTTAAGCAATCTAAGCAATCAGTGGACACTTATAGAAAAAATAAAACCAGAAGACCAAAATATCTGATCAAGAATATGGTATTGGAAATTTTCACTGTGACAGCCATCTCATTTTCATTTTTATTTCCTTACTTGTCAATCCCTCTTCAACTATGACTGTGATCCTAATACCCTAGACTCATCCTTCCTGACATTTTTAATTCTTACAAATATGGGAATATTTTTGTATTCTATGTGATAACTGGGAAGAGCTGTTGTGCTCGCTCCTTCCCTGCCAGGGTAAAGGCTGGGGTCGAGCTTTCCAGCACAGTGGTAATCTCTTGTTGACACACATGTGTCAAGGTAAACTGAAGGGAAACTGTGCTCCAGGCCTGTTGGGAATGAGGCTGCACAAAGACCACACATGATGCTATGTGGCCCTCCTGTTTGTCTCAGATCTATATTGTCAGCAGATGACTGCATGAACAGAATGAGCGATGTGACCATTCCACAAGGATTCTGACACCATACCTAACATTCACTTATTTTACAGTTTGTCTACTAGGATGCAAAATTAATTACCCTGAGATCTCAATCAGATGGATTTCACCATTTAATGACTTGCAGTCCAGGGGCTTTTGAAGTGTTATGTGACACTGATGTTTTTTCACAGGACAGGAAAACTCAAACAAGCAACAGTGTCCTACCAACTCAAGAAACAACCTAAACACATTAGTATCATGAAAGTTTTGCCAACTTGTTTTGAGAAAGTTGTATAATCCTGCCTCTTATTAGCTAAAAATACTTTTATAGACCTTACATAAGGGACAAGCCATAAATAAAGTATTGTTTTACATACTCTTTGTTTCTACCTGCTACATTTAGCAAAGACCTAAGTGAAGTAAAATAACTGAATCTACCAAAGTAATTAATATCATACATAAATCATATCTCCTGTATAGACAATATGAGCTAGCAGATTCTCTACTCTAGTACAAGATGGATAATGGCTTAGTTTGTTATATCCCCAGGAATCAACCCACCTCACTTTCTGCCCCTCATGCATACATTTGACTCTTTTGGTATTTCACATATCCTGTGTCCAGCTTCCTGAACAGGAGAGATGACTCATATGGCACGGTTAGTCCCATCTTTCCACTTGCCCATGAACTGAGTCTTTGTTCATGAGATACCATTAAACTGCATAATCTTTTTCTAAAGGGTTTGAATAGAGACATTCAACTGAGTAATTTGTAATTCTGACTATGTTGCTTAAGATTCAAATGGGCAACAAAGATTAAAAGACTGTATTACTTAAGCTTTCTCAGGAAATAAGTAAAATGCATATGACAAAATTTCTGAATTTTGGACCATATACCATATACAGTAAAGAACATATACAGAGTAAAGCAGTGAGGAGCAGTATTTGGGTAAGAGTCAGTGCTGGGTAATAATTAATGCAATTTCATTAGTTTAACTCTTTTTATTGGGTATGTCTATCTTTATCACTACAGGGGGGAAAAATCCCCTATTCTTTGTAGTCCTGGCTTAGAATTTCTAGTCTGTGTGATCTATGTAATATCATGATGTTTTCATTAATACACCTCTGTGGTATGTCTTGAAATCTGATATTGTGGTGCTTCCAGCTTTGTTCTTTTTGCTCAAGGTTGCTTTGGTTATCTTTATCTTTTGGGCTTTCCTATGAAAAGTAGGACTTGTTTTTTCTAATCTATGAAGAATGTCATTGTGTTTTATGTGAATTACATAATTGAAGGTAGTATAGATGATTTTGGATAGGATGGATACTTTTAATATAAATTTTTCAAAGTTATGAGCATCAGTGACCTTTCCATCTTTTAATGTCATCATCAATGGGGCCAGCCAAATAGCTCAGTGGATTAAAGTACTTACAAGCATGTGCAGGGGCTGGGGGGTTCAATTCCCAGGCCTGCCATGCCAGCCCCACCCCTGGGGTGCGCTGAGACAGCAATTGAGACTGGATGTGGTGGTGCATGCCTGTAATCCCATCTCTTGGGAAGCTGTAAACAGACAGATCCCTGCAAGTCCAATCTAATAGTGAGACCCTGAACACCCTGTAGACCCTTCCCTAAAATACAAAAAAAAAAAAAATTACAAATGATACAGAATTTCCCTTAACAAACTAATATGAATTTCACAGTATTTGTTGTAATGCATTAGTTTTGTCTTTCAACTAGTTAGTCATATTACCAGATATGTGTATGCAAAGTTGGAAGAAGAAAAAATGTATAAGAACAGAAAAAGGACAATTGAAAAAAAGAGACAAAAAAAATTAAGTATAACTGCTCCTTTCCATAGACCAGCAGAAATCCACACTACAGTTACCCAAACTATCCTGCCAACATATATAGGTATATCTCTTTCCCCTTTCCCTCTCATATCCTTCTCTTCAAGTCAGTAACTCTCCTTTTGAATGAGTTCATTCCCTTTTCCCAGTATCTGGTGTACCCTTCAGATTCCATTTTCTCTTTCAGGTTCTCACACTAAGTAGACAATATGATGTTTGAACATGTGGGTTTGATTTATTTGACTTAAGAGTATGGTCTCTAGTTGCATCCATTTACTGACAAAAGCCTCAAATTTAACCTGTTTTATAGCTGAATAATACTCCTTTATTTAAAAATACCATATCTTTGTCCATTCCTCAGTTGATCGGCATCTGAGTTCTTCCCAGGATTTAGCTATGACAAATGGCACTGCTGTAAATGTAGGTGCACATATATCACTGTGGTATGATGTTTTCAAATCTTCTGGAAAAATACCCAGGAGGAGAATATCTGGCTTGAATGGAATCTTCAATCCTAGCTTTTTAAGGAATCCTCACACTGATTTCCATAGTGATTATGCCAGCCTGCACTCCCACCAACAGTAGAGAAGGGTTCCCTTTTCTCCACAGCCTCTCCAGCATTTGTTATTGGCCGACTTGTTGATGTTAAACATTCTTTCTAGGGTGAGATGGAACTCAGTGGTATTTTAATTTGCATTTCTTAAATGACCAATGATGTGAAACATTTTTTCATATATTTACTTGCCATTTGTATTTCTTCCTCTGAGAAGTGAATATTCATCTCAGATGCCTGTTTTTGGATTGGGTCTTTGAATTTGGAGGGCCTGATTTTTTAAATTCTTTGTATGTTCTAGATAGAAGGCCTTTGTTGGACGGAGTCAGCTCTAATTTTTTCCCAGTTTGTGGGTTTTCTTTTTACTCTGTTGGAGATTTGCTTTGAAGTGCAGAAATTTTTCAAAAAGATGAGGTCCCAGTTGTTGATTCTTTGAAGTATTTCCAGTGCATTTTGGTTTTTGTTCATGAACTCTCTACCTACCCCTGTGTCTTTAAGATTTCTACCTACATTTTCCTCCAGAAGATTCAATGTTTCTGTTTTAAATTTAAATCTTTGACCCATCTTGACTGTAGTTTAGTGCATGGTGATAGACATGATTATAATTTATCCATCAGCATGTGAAAATCCAGTTTTTCCAGCAACATTTAGTAAAAGGCTAAATTTTAAGTTGAGAGAAGTTATTAAACAAAGTCCTAGGGCTGGGGAGATAGCTTAGTAGAATAAGCACTCACCTGGCAAGCGCAAGGTCCTGAGTTCAATCCCCAGTACCACAAAAAAACAAAAACATAAAGACAAAGTCCTGAAAAAAAACCTCACACTTAAAACTTCACCATCATCTTTTAATCATTTCCTTTATCTTCAGTTGCTCAGTTGGTGAATATTTACAGCTTGCCTCCACCGCAGGGGTATTGCTCTTACCCGTTCTCCCACCACAGGGACCTTCCCTGAGTTATTTCTATGGCTTGCAATCACACGTTCACTTTAGGGAGAGCTCTCAGACTCCCCTGTATTTGTCTCTTCTTCCTATGTCACCTATACTTAAAATAATACCTGCTTTGTAGCAGGCACTCAGTAAGTAAGACTATAATTTAATTTTACAGTCCTTTACTGGCAAATGGAACAGAGAATAGTTGGGAACAGATTAGGGAATATCTTCAACACAAACTGAGAAATTATATGTCTGGAGCTATGGCTTTCACTTTAATAGGGCTAGTGGAGCTATAGATCCTCAAGGAATGTGGGCAATCTTTCCAAATCCATGAATGTGCCCAAAGATCCAGGAATGCAATTAACCTTAGACTATGGGAGAAAACAGTTCTATTACAATAAGAAGCTTTTAATAATATAAAGCTGAACCAAAGCTTATGCCAGATGAAGTACAAGAGAAGGTGCCGAAGCATGGGGCCTCTTACAAACCAGCAGGTTGTCCTTGGAGATTTGTGTCACTGCTCCGACAAAACTCGTGGGGTCTCTCCCTGCCAAGTGACTTAAATGTATACCCCAGACCTTCACCTTTTAAATCTCAGTTTTCCTTTCCATACTTATTTCTTAATATTTCTGTACATGTAATCAGTACCCTAGAAAAACTACTTTTTCATTGTTTGAGCAGCTTTTGTATGCCTCTGTTCCTTTTCTCATAGTATTGCTCTATCTTGACTTCATTCAAGTTGGAATAAGTCCACGAGAGTTTAACTTCCAATTGCCAAGTAGACATCTTCATCCCCACTATCAACATGTCAAGATTATCTCATCTTTGAACCTTCCCTTTGGCCCTGGCCATGCCAACCTCTGCCTGTATTGGAGTCACTTATGTAGTTTCCTTTTCATTCTATAAGGTTTTGTTTGTTTGTTTGTTTGTTTGTTTGTTTGTTTGTTTTGCGGAACCAGGGATTGAACTCAGGCCCTTGTGCTTGTCAGGGAAGTGCTTATTCCACTGAGCCATCTCCCGGGCCTATAAGTTTTGTAATGAAGAAAGTTTCTCAAAATCTTATATTCTCATACCACTTAATATGATTCTTTTGACAAAACAGATGTTCAGTTAGAGACTGTAAAATTAAATTAAACCCCGTCAGAAAGACTTTTAAATTGTCTGAGGATAAAGTTTAGATAAGGAGACTATTCTGTCATTGTACTACAAAATGATGTTCACAGCTAGTACTCCTTTACATCTAATTATTGAATGGACATTGAGAAGTTTTAAATTGACGCCAGTATTTCCAACAGTATTTCTGTTCCCTTCCTGGGTCTCTACTATCTTCTAGTAGGTGTTGTCCATAGGTGCATAAGGGTCAGGGACATAGTTCAGTAGAATAAGTGCCTGCCTGGCAAGTGCAAGGTCCTGAGTTCAATCCCTGGTATTACCAAAAAAAAAAAAAAAAAAAAAAAAAAGGAAGTAGGCATAGGTCCATAGCAGGTACAGTCCCTAGGAATTTGAGAAGTAAAGCACCATTCTAAAAATAGGAAACTTACAACTATTTAGGCAAACATACCAGCCACTGTTAAGTAAGTGTATGGTTATTTTAAGAATAAATCCAACTGACTGCTGAGTAGATGATAAAGTAAACAAAATGCCCAAATAATAAACATACTTATAGACACCTCAACAACTATAAAAGGCTATTTTGTAGTCCTTTGATTTAATATTTGACAAAGCACCTGCTTAGGCAGACACAGGGGTCAAGGATTGATCCCTGGGCCTGCCCTGCTGGCCCCGCCCCCAGGCACACTGAGACATCAGTTGAGACTGGGTGTGGGGGCACGCACCTGTAATCCCAGAATTTGGGAGGCTGTAAACAGGAGAATCACTATGAGTCGGACCTATGTAGTGAGACCCTGTAAACCCTGTACTAAATACATTTTAAAAAATTAATATTTGACATAAAATCTTTTAAAAATGTTGGTCTGATTCTCCCATACAAAGAAGTTCAATAATACACTCAGCTATATTCTTTTCTATGTTCAGGGCATAAAAACAACCAGGAGTTTGTCAACTAAAGAGGACCAGAGTGTTGTTTACAAGGACACATGATAGGGGCCAGGAAGATGACTCAGTAGAATAAGCGCTTCCCTGGCAAGCACAAGGGCCTGAGTTCAATACCTGGTTCAGCAAAAAAAAAAAAAAAAAAAAAAAAGAAGAAGAAGAAGAAGAAGAAGACATAATAGCTTTACAATGGGAGAAAACATTACAAATTAACAACAGAATATTTTTCTATATCTAGGGACCAAGAGGACCAGATGGTCTTCCAGGAGAACAAGGTATACAAGGCATTAAGGTAATCATCAATTTTATTATTTCATGCTCAGTGAAATTTTATTGAACTCATATACTCTATCCAAACAAATTCTATCCAAGTTGAGGCTACATAGTCCAGAACTCATATATCACCTTAGAAAAGTATAATTCAAAATTTTTTTCTAAGTTTAAGTATGCAACATAAAATCCTTACTACATGTGACAAACGTTTTCAATAATGAACTATATATTTGGTATCTTGTTTTCTGTTTGTGAATTTATGATAACATATATAAAAGTGTAATTTAAACTCTTACTAATTCACCTGTTTTGTTAGGGTGAAAAAGGAAATAAAGGGAAAAGAGGTCCTCATGGTATTACGGTAAGCCATTTTAAAAATTCACGTTAAGGGGCCGGGGAGATGGCTCAGTAGAATAAGCGCTTCCCTGGCAAGCGCAAGGGCCTGAGTTCAATCTCCAGTTCCACAAAAAAGATAAATAAATAAAAATAAAATTTCATGTTAAGTGGGAACATTTTAGCTCTTCCCTATTTTCCTTGATTCTTTCCTCTGTTATTCTGAGAGTGAGATACTTGACACATTTTTTTCTTGTGTAGGGTGGGATTGGAAACCTTGGAGAAAGAGGAGCGCAAGGAAAACCAGTAAGTAATTAGAAAATAATCAAAATATAATAATTGATATCTGTGTGAAAAAGGGAGTGTTTAAACAATTCTTTAATTGTATTACATAATAGTAGAAATTATATATTTATAATATGAAATATTATTATAGTCATATATATTATAAAGTGATTACCAGTTTTCTCCTCTGACACAACCATTATTTCATACCCAGTACAGTACACTAAGAAAACACAAGCTTTCCTCTCCTTTCATCATTAAGTTATGGGGTTTTTTTGTTTGTTTGTTTTTGCAGAACCAGGGATTGAACTCAGGCCCTTGCACTGGCCAGGGAAGCGCTTATTCCACTGAGCCATCTCCCATCCCCTAAGTTATGTTTTATTTGATCAAATTGCTTATCCATTCTCAGCCTTGGTTGCACCTACTTTTAAGTTGGTGGTAATGACCATTCATTCACTCTATTTGTGATAAATTAGGTTTTTTGGTAAAACTCATTTCAAAATACAGTGGTGTGGTATACAAATGTAGTGGGAAGAAATGAAGCTAATACCTTTCAACTCAAGTAAAAAGTATTTTAGACCATTGGAATGGGGTTCTATGTGTGCTTTCTCAGGGTGCTGCTCTAATTTTTTTTTTTTTTTTTTTTTTACTTAGGACAGGGTCTACAGGGTCTCACTACATTAATTGAACTCATAGTGATCCACGAGTTCAGCCTCCCAAGAGCTGGGATTCATATCCAGTACAGTACTCTAAGAAAATACAAGCTCAAGCCCCCCCAGATCTGGGATTACAGGCATGCTCCACCACGCCCAGTCTCAATCACCTACCCAGTGCACCCCAGGGATGGGACTGGCATGGCATGCTGGGGATCGAACTCCGGCCACTGCTCTCTGCTTAAGCAGTCGCTTTAGTCCACTGAGCTATCTGGTCTGCCCTCTACTCTAAATATTTTTAATGTTTATAATGGTAGATATTTTCCTACTATCACACATCTTACTAGAATTATACATTTCTTAACCTGACTGCAACTTCTATGACTGTCATCACCAAGTAAGAGAGAAAAATGTTTACAAAAGACAAAAATTAAAAGGACCACATAAGCAGACATAAACATGTATACGTAAGATGCTGTGTATGTCAGCATATAAACTTGAATGTATATTATTTTAATTTATTTCATTCAGAATTATAATTTTAATGGTATTTGATTTATCATAGACATGTATATGTGTAAAGTTATTGAATTCTATAATATAAGCAGATTGTAGGTAATGAGTTAGCAAAGGATAAGGTAAATGTTTGAGTTGCTGAAATAATTGTCACAAATATCACTACAGTTGTTCGTTCCTCTTTGAAATCTGCTGCCCCCTGCCTGTGGTTTGTCACAATAGCATTATATTTGACTGGTTGAGCCTATATCAGAGGACTAAAAAGTAAAAAATAAAAAATAAAAAATAAATCTTTTCTAGGAAAAGAAATTGCACTTGGCATTGTATTATAAGCTAAATTCCTTCCTCCAAGAACAGCTCTTGAATGTTAAAAATCATTATCTGACTTTTTACTTATCAATGGAAAAGCTATTTCTGTAGGTTGTCGCTACTTTTCAGTACTGTCTCGAGGCAAATGTGTTGCAAAGATTAGAGAAATTTGAAGGTCAGGCTCGTTCCTCTGGTTTTAAAGAAATGAGGCCTAAAGAAATAAAAATTGTATGGTAATTTTGTCCACTGTTGACCTTTCTTACAATTTTACCTCCAGTTTCAGCTTGGATAAATGTGGTATTTGACTCCCTTGATCAAGCAAAAGACAGTAGAATCATTTCATAAACATAGCTTAGAGCAGACAAGTTGTGGAGACTACTGGAAAAGTGGACATATCTTCACTGATAGAATGACTTGCCAGTGATTAATGAGTTTATAATGGCTGTTGGGATTTACTATGTACTATACCTACATTGTCTGTCTGTCTGTCTGTCTGTCTGTCTGTCTGTCTGTCTGTCTGTCTGTGTCTGTCTACCAGGAATTGAGTGAGGGTCTTCACACTGAAATAGACCCCCAGTCCTACTTTATTTTGGGGACAGTTCTTACCAGGTCTTTAAATTGCCCAAGCCAGGCTTAAACTTCATATCATGCCTCAGCTCCCGAGGGCTGCAACTCCAGGTATGTGTCATCAGGCACTGCTCATCTACATCTTCTCCTCCTCCTTGATAAATTGAAATCTTGGAGAAGCAATGAACAGTCAATCAATAAAGCCACATTATCTGTAAAGATTCATTTTATCCTTTGGAGAACTTTTAGTGTTTCCAATCCTTTAAGCGCTGAGATCAGCAGATGATGTTTGATAATGGAAAAATATAGTAGAGGTCAAATTGACCATTGTCATTACCTGCTCCTAAAATATGTATAACCTTTATTAGCAGCTAGCGTCTCACATTTCCCTCACTTGTAAAATAGAGAGACTGATAAGATCTCTAAGGCATCTTCATGTCTCAATTTTGTAATTGTTTTTTTCTTTTATGCTGGGAATAGAACCCCAAACCTGTGTGAACTAACCATATGGTCTACCACTGGCTAGACTCCCAGTCTCTAATTGTTATAATTCTAAGGCCAAATATTAAATGAAATTGAAAAAATATATAATACACTTGGATAGTTCACATAACCAGTAAATTTCTCTTTTTTTCATTTATTTATTTATTTAGTATGTATATGGTACTGGATCTACATGGTCTCACTACATAAATTGGACTCGTAGTGATTCTCCTGTTTTTAGCCTCCCAAGCACTAGGATTGAAGGCACAGACAGACCACCGTGCCCAGTCTCAACTGCTGTCTCAGCCTACCCCGGAGGCGGAGCCAGCACAACACACTGGGGATCAAACCCAGGCCACTACGCTCTGCCTAAGCAGGGTCTTTAGTCTGCTGAGCTATCTGGCCAGCCCCACCAGTATGCTTCTGTGGACCAACACCACTTCGTATTTTCACTTTCCATCTTCACACAGATCTAACTCAAAAGAAAAATCAGAAACAAAGGCCACAAGCCATTGTATTACTAAGGAAATAAAACCTGGGTCATCATTTCTGATTTTCCAAGTCACATAAACATTATAATACTTTTTACATTACTGGTTCTTATGTAAATGTTCTACTAATTGGTAAGTGTATTTAAAAATCTGTTTTTAAATGTCTCTATTTCTTTAATTCAAGAAAGAATTAAAATAAATCAATTTGATTTATTTCTGTAAATCAAATTTTACATTATATATTTTGAAATTCTATTATAAGTGCACTAACATTTACAGTTACGTCTTCCTAATCAACTGACTCTTATTATTAAAAAACCATTTTGATATATCTTTTATAATTTTTTCCCTCTTGTTCATATTGTTTTGAATTCTACTTTACCTGATATTAGTATATTCTCACTATCCTTCTTATACTTGCTGTTCAGATGGCATATTTTCCTCCATGTGTCTTAAAATTTAAATTCAGTATATTGTAGGTGGCAGGAGCCAGGGGTTCGATCCCTGGGCCTGCTGTGCTGGTCCCACCCCCAGAGTGCGCTGAGATGGCAGTTGAGACTGGGTGTGGTGGTGCGTGCCTATAATCCCAGCTCTTGAGAGGCTGTATACAGGAGGATCACTACGGGTCCAATCTACGTCGTGAACTCAGTAACCCAGTACTAAAAATAGTGTGTGTGTGTGTGTGTGTGTGTGTGTGTGTGTGTGTATGTGTGTGTGTGTGTGTATGTTAGATATTGCTTTTTAATTCTGACATGCTTCTCTTATCAGAGTGTTTGTCCATTTTATATTGTGGTGTTAGATTTAGGTTTGCCAATTTCTTTTCATTTTAATCGTACATTTTAGACATATAGTGATGGCACACAGCAGACGAGATTTGCACCTGTGCCTGGCATATCTTGCTGCTTTTTTTTCCCCTTCCTCTCCCTTTACCTCTTCTTTTTTCCCATTCCCCTCCCTTTGCCTCTCCTTTCCCTCTTTATTTAAAAAGCTTTTTTCTATTTTTCCTTCTATTCTTTTTTATTCCTGCCCCTTTTTCCCTCCCCTACCATTTCCTCATTTGAAGATTTTCTTCCATTTTTGCAATATCTATTGTACATTTTGTTCATTATTTACACTTCCATTTTTTCAAACCAGAAAAACCATGTTATATTTACATATGTGTGTTTGATTTACTTAAGAGTATGCACTCAAGAGCCTACCAAATAACTCAGCAAATTAAACATTTGCTTAGGCAAACACAGAGGTCAAGGTTTGACCCCAGGCCTGCCGTGCTGGCCTCACCCCTGGGGCACGCTGAGATAGCGACTAAGAGTGGGCATGGTGTCATGCGCCTGTAATCCCAGCACTTGGGAACCTGAAAACAGGAGAATCACTACAAGTCCGATCTGTGTAGTGAGACCCTATCGACCCTGTAGACACTGCACTAAATACAAAAAAAAAAAAAAAAGTATGTTCTCAAGGTGCATTCATTTGCCTAGAAATGTCCTGAGTTTAACCTGCATGGCAGAGTTGTACTCCATTGTATATATTTTAAAAAGTACATCATCTTTAACTATTCAGTGGTTTGGGGGTATTTGGACTATTTTCAAGGTTTAGCTATTATAAACAGAGCCAATATAAACATGGGTGTGCATATATTTCTGTGCTATGATGCTTTTAATTCTTTCAGGAAGATACCAAGAAGGAAAATAACTAGGTTGAATGAAACCTCTAGTTTTAGTTTTTTGAGGAATATCCACACTGATTTCCATGGTGGTTGCACCAGTCTGCACTTGCACCAACAGTGGACAAAGTTTTCTTTTCCCTTACAACTCCACCAGCACCTGTTATTAGTTAATTTCTTCATAATAGTCATTCTTTCTGGAGTGAGGGGAAACCTCAGTGTTGTTTTAGTTGACATCTCTCAAATAACGATTGTTGAGCATTTTTTCATATATTTGTTTGCCATTTCTATTTCTTCATCTGAGAAGGTTCTATTCATCTCAGATGCCCATTTTTGGAT